GCCACCCCACACAATGTGTCTTGGAGGTCCCTCGCCAGGCGATCAGCCTTATCCTTGCTGTCCTGGCCATGGACCTCCAAGATTACTCCCCATTCCTAGCGCGCTTAATTTTATTCTCGCCAGGTTACAGGCCAATCTCTTGGAGGTCGACCTGCTGCCTGGCTTGCACCATAACCTCCTTTATCGAACCCCCCGGCAACGCGGTGACAGTGACCACCGGGTTGCGCGGAGGGTTCCGGACCTAGGGCCTTTTGGGTGGGGGGGTCCCTTCTTCGGGACCCCTCCCTCCCTGGTCTTCCCCCTCCTTGGGGGGCGGTGCGACCTTCTTTGCCGCACCGCCTCCCCTTTTGGGATCGAGTTTGGGCTTCTGCCCACCCCCTTTCTCCTTGCCCTTACGGGTGGACACGAGCGTCCACCCGTCGCGCCCCTCCCCGTCGGCCGCCGGTCGCCGTGTGGGGGGCGAGGGAATGAGGCCCCGCTGCCCGCAGCTGCGTGTACCGGAGAGAGAAGTATTCTCTCCAGTAACCGCCCTATGCGGGCGATTTCTGCCTTGAGGCCCCGGACCTGCACCTCCAGGGTCCCAAGGCGTCCATCCGGGCCTCCATCCCTCGCCATAATCCCAACGTCGTCGAGCGCTGTCTCGATCTCTTCGAGACAGCGGAACGTCATTTCGTTAAGACACGCGAGGGGCCTCCCGGTGTAGCCCCCCGCGGACTTCCTACCCGGTTCGACCCGGAGCTCGCGGAGGTATCGCACTCCGTCGATCGCCTTCGCGGCCCAGATCTCGTGCAGCCGTGAGGGCCTCCGCACATGCGGAAGCCCCCACTGCTGGCGCTTGCGCCCCCCCTCGGCTGTCCCCACTCGCGCGTTACGGAGAGGAGACCCTCCGGCCACAGGGACTTCCTCGCCCTCGACCAGAGGGAACTCCTCCCCCAGGAACAGCTGATTCCACGTTCGCGTGGCGGACATTTCGTCCGTACCACGCGCCCCGGGAGCTGCACCCTCCCCCTCCCTAGGGATACTAACGTCCCCGAGAGCAGGGAAGTGCATCTCCCTATCCCCCTAAAGCTGGAAAGCGGAGGTTTCCGCCAACCGCTTCCGCTTTTTTGCGCTCCTTGGGCCGGCGAAGGCCGAGGGTGGGTATATGCGACCCACACTCGGCCTCAACCGGTCCAGGAGCGCTTCCCTTCGAGCGGTAGCAGATTTAGACGACGCGCCCGCCTGGCCCGTAGCTGGATGACGACGGAGGGTGCCGGGACGATACGCCCCACCGCCGGTCCCCGGCTCCGAATACCGGGGCGTTTTGCTCCTTGTTACTCATTACACCATAAAAATGCAGGGGTTTTGCGTGCCCCTGCAACACGGGTGCAATTTCGAGGTTTTCCTTCCCCTAGACCGGTTGCCTGCCAAGGCTAACGAGCCCGCTCTGCCCGCGCTGTAGGGTCCTTTGGGCCCCACGAATGAGACCCTCCAAGACCCTGGTTAAAACCTGGAGGCAGGTGCCCATCCAGGAGTATTATGGACGCTCTTAGTCTGGCCCCTCCGTACAGACCACTCCGGCATGGTAGAACCTGCCGGGGGCCGAAGCCCCCGCCGGCACAGCTCTGTACATCATCAGGACACGCAAGCTCCCCCACCACGGCAAGGTGGCGTCCACGGGGGAGAGGAGTATACATACATAACCCATTTCTTCCTAATGTTGCGTATACGCAACACGAAGTTTATATAATTAATTATCAGTAATTAATTTTTTTTTCACGAAGTGTTAGATTAATACTCCCACGTGGACGCCACATTGCCGTGGTGGGGGAGCTTGCGTGTCCCGATGAAGTACAGAGCTGCGCCGGCGGGGGTTTCGACCCCTGGCAGGTTCTATCATGCCGGAGAGGTCTGTACAGAGGGGCCAGACTAAGAGCGCCCATAATACTCCTGGATGGGCAGCTGCCTCCAGGTTTTATCTAAGGTCTGGAGGGTCTCATTCGTGAGGCCCAAAGGACCCTACAGCGCGGGCAGAGCGAGCTCGTTAACCTTGGCAGGCAACCGATCTAGGGGAAGGAAAACCCCGAAATCACACCCGTGTTGCAGGGGCACGTAAAACCTCTGCATTTATGGAGATATGACTAGTAAGGAGACAAGGGCTCCGGTACTCGGAGCCGGGGCACAGCGGGAGGGGGCGTATCGTCCCGGCACCCCCCGTCGTCATCCAGCTACGGGCTTGACGGCGCACGCCAGGCGGGCGCGCCGTCTGAATATGCTACCGCCCGAAAGGAGGCACTCTTGGAACGGCTGAGGCCGAGTGTGGGTCGGATGGACCCACCCTCGGCCTTCGCCGGTCCAAAGAGCGCCAAGAAAAGGAAGCGCGTGGCGGAGGAATCTGCCACGCATTTGTGGCAGGACAGCGAGATGCATTTCCCTCCCCTCGGGGGCGTTAGTTCCCATCGGCGGGAGGGGAGTGCAGCTCCCTGCACGCGTGGGAGTAGGGACGTAGTATCCGCCACGCAAAATTGGAAGGAACTTTTCCCAGGAGAGGAGTTTCCCCCATCCGAGGACGAAGAGTCCTCGGTTGGGGGGACTCCACTCCGAAACACGCGGGAGGGGAGAGTTTCGGGGGGGGGCATCAGGGCGCCACCAGTGGGGCCTTCCGCTCGTGCGGAGGCCCGCTGCCGAGGCGGAGAGAGAGAGGGACCTTGCTGACAAGGCCCTGGACGGCATAGACTATGTCCGAATCGTCCGAGTAGATCCCTCGTTGAGGGCCGCCAAGGGGTATGGAAAACCCCTGGAGGCCCTCAACGAGGATTTTAGGGAAAGCCTCCTCTGCATAGAGGAGGCATTAGAAGATTATAAGAGGCAGGCAGGCGAGGGAGGATGGCCTGGATGGACGACTTGGGACCCTGGAGGTGCAAGGAGGTCCGGGGCCTCAAGTCCGAAATCGCCCTCATTGGGTGGCAGCTAGAGAAGCTTTTGCCTTCTCCAGCAGCGGCAGTTGCGGGCAGCGGGGCCACTCTCTCTCGCCCCCCTCCGCGGCAACCGGCGGCCGATGTAGAGGGGCGCGGCGGGTGGATAGCCGTGTTCACCCGCAAGGGGAAGGGAAAGGGAGGGAAGAGTGCGCGGCCTGACCCTCCTCTACCAAAGGGTGGAGGTGCCGCAAAGAAGGCGGCACCTCCTCTCAAGGGAGGGAAGGCTGGGGGGAAGGGAGCCCCGAAGAAGGAATCCCCTTCCCTCTAAGGAAGCCACAGATGAGGAACCCCCCGCGCAACCCGGTCGTAACAGTGACCGCGTTGCCGGGGGGTCCCTCTATCACGGAGGTGGTGGCTAAAGCCAGGCTTCAGGTCGATCTGCAGGAGGTCGGCCTGGAGCCTGGCAGCTTCAAGATAAAAAGGGCCAGAAATGGGGGCGTAATCCTGGAGGTCCCTGGTCAGGAAGGTCGGAGTAAAGCCGACCGCCTGGCTAGGGATCTCCAGGATGTCTTGTGTGGGGACGCAGAGGTCTCCAGGCCGACGAGAAGGACGGAGCTCCGCCTCGTCGGACTGGAGGACTCTGTGACCAAACTGATGGTCAGGGCCGCGATATTGAAGGCCACAGGCTGTCCCCCGGACGATCTCCAGGTCGGTGAGATCAGGAGGTCGTCCTGGGGACTAGGGCGGGTTTGGGTCCGGTGCCCGCTGGCACCGGCCCAAAATCTGGCGGCAGCCGGGGGGCTGATAGTCGGTTGGGGACGGGCGCAGATACGGACACTGGAGGACCAGCCCCTCCAGTGTTATAAGTGCTTGCACTTTGGTCACATGGCAGCGACCTGCCAGACCGATAACGGCCTGGCAGGCCGCTGCTTTAGGTGCGGAGGGGCCGGTCACGTGGCACAGGGGTGCGCCGCGGCGGTGCGGTGCCCCCTGTGCAATAAAGAGAGGAGGGAAGCCGGCCACCAAATGGGTGGCCGAGCCTGTAGGGCGGTCCCCCGGACTGCCCCGAGAGGAGGGTATCTTCTCTTCGAAAGAGGAGGAGAAAGAAGGCGGCACGCGGGGGGCTGCGGCTGATGTCCGGCCGCAGCCTCCTGGCGATGCCGCCGAAATGGCGAAACAACCGGCCGCTGGCCCAAGCAGGACCGATGGGGAAGGGATGGGGGCGATGGAGGCTGGAGCGATCCAGCCTCCGCCACCCACAGGTAGGGCCTGGGGTAGGTGGAGCGTCGGCCGCTCCAACTGCGGCGGACCCTCCTCCGGCGGTTAGGCCGGAGGGGGTCTCCGAGGCGATGATGACGATGGAGGTTGAGGCCTCAGTCTCCCTCCTAGCGGAGGCAGGGTGGCAGGAGTGGGGGGCAATGAGCACGAGTAGCTCTCCCCAACCACTCCCTCACCCCAGGCCCATGGGATCTGCCGGTGCGGTAGTGGCCTCGAGTGCTAGAGGCCTCAACACCAGGACCCATGGGCCAGGTAGGAGCTGTCAGGAGTAGGCAGACCCCTTGTGGGAACACCCCCTTTTTTTTGATAACGCAGCAGAAACCCATCATGGATACCCTCCGCCCCCTGGGAGGGGCGGAGGGTTATGTGAGACTCTTACTCACTAAAACTCCTGCGGGATGTCTACCAGTCGGACCGAGTTGGGGGGAGTTGGGGGAACTGCGCCAGCATTCCTTCCCCAACACCCCGGCCCCAGGGCTCTCACGGAGCCCCACGCCCAAGTACCGCATCCGTGTGGATCCTCTCCTGAAAGAGGGTCCGGGTGCGATGCCCCGATCGGCTTGCCGATCGGGTTGGCCTTCCGGTACTTTATAGGAGAGAGGGGACATCCACCCTCCCTCCCCGCCCCCTCCTCGTAAGCGATTCCATTCCGGAGGGGGCGGGGGAGCGAGACCTTTCCCAGAAGGCCCTGCTCCCCCTTCCCTACCTCGCCGACGCCCGGGGGAGGGCGAGGGTGGTTTACACCCCTCCCCCCGATGACCCTCCCCCAAGCGTCCGCATGCGGGCCCGAGGCGGCCGAGGAGGCGATCCTCGGTTGTCCGAAGATCATTGCTCCGCCTCGGCCGGCGCCACCTCTGGCCCGCTCCGTAAACCTGGGGAGCCCCGTCCCCTTCGCCGTCTCCTGGGACGGTCGGAGGGGCGGCGCTCCCACTCGCCGGCTTCCTTCTGGGACATGATGTCCTTGCAGAAGGAGGCCGCCTCCCCCCACACCTCTTCGATCTCGCACATAGCGCGAACCATGCGCGGGAGCGAGAGGGCCACCACCCTACACCCCACCGCCCGGGCCAGGACTCGGCGCCGCTGGTCCCATGCGGGGCACGAGACCAACGTGTGTTGCGCCGAGTCCACTCGCTCCGGGCAGTGGTGGCACTCGGTGGTGGGTTCCTTCCTGATCCTGTGGAGGTATTCCCGAAACATCCGTGTCCGGTCAGCACCTGCACCAGATGGAAGGACAGCCCGCGTCCCCTCCTGCCCATCATTTCTGATAGGCAGGGGCGGACAGCCTCGGCCGTCCAGCGCCCGAACCCTCGTGGGTCCGCCAATTCGGCGGACCACTTGTCGAGGGTCCGGGCACAGGCCTGGGCCTTTAGGGCCCTCAGGTCCATGACTGATAGTCCCTCCTCCCTCCCGCGTAGCTCCTTTGTTCGCCAACATAAGAGAAATCTCTCTTCGGCGAGGAGCTCCACTGGGGGGAAGCCGGCCAGAGTGGTCGCCGCCAGATACGAAACGGTGACGTACCCCTGGATCGCCCTCATAACCACCGGCCGCATCGCCTGACGAATCAGGTTCTTGTTGCGGCCGGTGGCCAGTAGTCGTGGCGCCCAGATGGGCGCCCCATAGAGGGCGACCGAGTGCACGACACCGACGTAGAGGCGGCGAGCCCGCCATCCCGGGCCCCCCTGGGTTCGCATCAAGCCGGCCAGAGCCGTGCTCAACTTGCGAACCCGCGAGGCCAGGAGCCTGAAATGGGCCCCAAAGTCCCAATGGCTGTCCAACGTCAGGCCCAGATACTTGATCGTGGGCCCGACGCGGACACAGACACCATCCACCAGGACTCGGGCCTTTCGTGGCCTCCCCTCACCCCGACGGCGATGGAACAGCATCGCCTGGGTCTTTTGGGTGGCCACTTTGAGCCCGAGGTCTCTGATGGTGCCCACCACCGAACTAAGTGCCGTCTCTGCTCGGAGGCGAGCCTCCCCCCAATTCTCCCCCTCGGCGAGCACCAACGTATCGTCTGCGTAGCAGACTGCGTGGGCGCCGAGGGGAAGGGGAAAGCGCAACACCCGGTCGAACGCGATGTTCCATAGCAGGGGGCCCAGTACGGAACCCTGCAGAACACCGCGTTCCATTCGGCGCCAGCCTTGGATCCCACCTCTCCCGGAGTAGGCAAGGTCCTTGTCCCTGAAATAGGCCGACAGGATGCGTTGGAGATAGACGGGCACCTCGTGGTATTCGAGGACCCGTCCAATCTCCGGCCAAGGCAGGGTGTTGAACGCGAAGGCAGTGATGTTGAGAGACACCGCGAGCAACACCTTGCCCCTCTCCTCCACAGCGGTACGGGCCAGGTCCCGGACGTGCTAAACGGCATCCAGCGTAGAGCGTCCGGACCTGAACCCGTACTGGTTGCTGTGGAGGTTGCTGGTCCGGCCCTTCCAGGGACATGTGCTGGACGAGGCAGTCGGCAATGATGCGCTCGAGCATCTTGCCCGCCTCGTCCAGCAGGCATATCGGCCTGAAGGCTGGCGCCCCACCGGGCGTCTTGCTCTCCTTAGGGAGGAGGACTAATTTGGCCCTCCTCCACTCATGGGGGAAGACTCTCTCCTTGAGGCACTTATCCAGAACGTTCCGCGTGGCTGCGGACAGGTTCCTCTCGCCAAGGGCAAGGGCCCAGGCGCGGCCAGGAATACCGTCGGGGCCTGGGGCTTTGCCCTTGGCCCCGAGCCTCTTCCTGGCCCTGGCGAACTCCTCTAGTGAAACCCCCAGGTCCTCATTCCAGTCCCCGTCCCGTAATTCCGGGACGGGGAGCCGCGGAGGGTCCCCCTCCACCCTCGGGAAGAGGGTGTCGAGGCACCCCTCGAGGTCCTGCGGCTCCATCGACTCCGTCGGAGTGGGCGCCCATGGACGTATCTTTCCGACCGTCCGTTTGTATGGGCGCCCCCACGGGTCTTCGTCTAGGGAGTCCACCAGTCGCTCCCAGGCCTTCTCCTTGGCTTCCTTGATGGCGGCCTTCAAGGCTTCCCTTTTATTAAGGTAGTCCCATTTTGTCCCCGCGACATCCCCCTCCTCATTGCGCCGGGCACTGGTATACAGCCTTCTAGCTCGAACGCAGGAATTGCGGATCTCCGCAATCTCCTGCGTCCACCAGTATGCCGCCCGGCGCTTTCGGGGGTGGGACCGGGGCATCGCGACGTCGCATGCCGACGCCACAATGCCCACTATCTCCCTCGCCAGTTCCTGGGGAGGGAGGGGGTCCCGTTCACCTGGCTCTTTTCCGAGATGCTAGGTGGCCGCGAGAACGGCCGCCTGGAACCTGTCCACGTCTAATCGATCGAGGGCCCATCGTTTGGGGAGGGGAAAGTCCCCCTCCCCAGAGTGGCGGGCCAGCACCCGGTGAGGGGTGGGGAGTCGGAGAGACCACATCACATATCTATGATCAGACAGTGATTCCCTCTCCTCCTCCACCACCCACTCCCGGAAGTTCCGGGCAGCCGAGGGGGAGGCCCATGTCAGGTCAATGACTGACTCGCCTCCCCCGGCCGCACACAGGTGCTAGTGGACCTCGTGTTCATGAGCACGAGGCCCAATCCCGCCGCCCAGTAGGCCACGACATTGCTCCGAGGGTCCCGCTGCCGGGGACTACAGCCCCACTCTTCCGAGTGGGCGTTAAAGTCCCCAGCAAGACAGGTCGGGGGTGGCATTTACGTACCACGTCCCCGATCCTGCCTAGGACCCTTTCAATCCGGGCAAGTTTGCCGCGGCCCTCTTTGTTCCTGTGGTGGGGGAGATACACCCCCACCACAGTGACGGGCCCGCAGTCAATCGCCACATACGAGCCCCCCCTCTTCCTGATCGAACAGGGGGGGGGACCCGCTGCGGGACAGGCCACCACGGCCACCAAGCCGCACTTGCTACCCAGCCAGTTGGGGTTACCAACCGGGATGAAGTGCGGCTCGGTGACCACCCCCAGCCCGGCGCCCAGTTCCGCGAGCCTGTGTATCCACGGGTCTTGGGCCCGGGCGCCGCGGCCAAGGTTGGCTTGGGAGACCCGGGGAAGCGTGAAAGCCAGGCCTTCACACCTCCTGCAGGCGCTCCTCCTCCGCTCCCTCCGGGGAGGCCTCTGGCGGCGAAGACGCCGCCTCAGCCTCCCCAGAGGAAGCGTCAGCCGTTGTGGCTTCCAGGACTGATGCCTCCGCAGAGACTGCTAATTCCATTGCCTCCTCCGAGGCTGTGTGGGGGGTCCCTACCTGTGTTCCCTCCATCTCTAGGGAGTAAGAGGGGAGGGCGCACATTGAGGAAGCCAGGGATGGCGCGTCCTCTGGCTTCCCTTCTACGGTCGTTGGGGATGGAGCTTTCGCATCCACCCACCTCACCTGATCCTCCCGGGATGGCGACGAGCTCCACGTCAAGGTCCCCTCCTCTCCAGATTCCGCCGTTGGTATCGCCGCCTCTATCGCCCCGCGTTTTCTTTTTCTCGCCGGGGCTTCGCCTCCTCCGGAACGTCCATGGCGACGGGGTCCAGGACGCGGTCAAGCACCGCCTCCGCTGTCGTTGGATTCTCCTCCCTCGTTGGGGGGAGAGGTCTGCCCAATCTCCCCCTATCTCCTGATCCCTTCTCAGTGGAGGAGGTTGACCCGTCCTTCTTAGCGTTGGCTGGCGAGGCGGTCCCAGTTGCCTCTCCGTCTGTTCCGGGTCTGGTCTCCATCCTCCTCCTTTGCCTCCTCTCCTTCCCAGTGAGGGGGCGGCAGGAAGGACCGCCGACCTTGTGGTCTGCTTTCCTTCCCAGTCTCGCGCAGACAGGGCAGTGGGCCGCTACCGCCTCGTATTCTTTGGCGCGGTGGTCGGGGTTACTGCAACGATAACAGGCATCGCTGCGGTCGACGGCGTTCCCGCACCGCCCGCGCACGTGGCCCTGCTCCAAATATTTGAAGCAGAACTCGGCGCGGGCGGGCAGCACCGTCACCCCGACGCGGGTCCAGCCAATCCGGACCCGCCCCGTTGCGGCTGCCTTACTGGCTGCCGCGAGCGGGCACCGCACTACTGTTGAGGCCAATCCTCTTTGGGTGAGGTTGTACCTGCCCACGGAAACTTTCGCGGGCAGGCATCCCCCAGCCTTGGCCACTGCGGCCGCCACCTCTTCTGCCCCGACCGTCGCGTCCAGGCCAGTGATACGCACAGATGCGATCTTCACCGACCTTTGGACGCGATAGTCGGGGCCCTGAGCCGAGGCCAGGCACCTCGATCAGCAGGGCACCCGTTCGGGCCATGCGAATTCGCAAGGCCCCCGGGATGCCAAGCTCCTCCGGATTGATCCGGCGCCTGGCCTCGGTCATAAAATCTTTGTAAGACCCCTCAGGGCATGTTATGGTGACGGCTGCTGACTTAGGCGGCTTTGGCACCACTCCCACCACTTTTGGCCCCTCCCCCACCTGGGACCGGAGGCCTGTTGTCGAGGAGCCACTTCTTTCCTCTTCAGCTCCTGCTTTGCCTTGTTCTTTTCCCTCCTTCCGATCACCTTGCTCCATGTCTCTCCTGGAACAGAGATAGGTTGAGATACGGTCGGAGGGAGAGAGGGAGGGAGCTCTCTCTCCTCCCGCTTCGGCCAGCCCCTTTCTCCTTCTTCAGTTTGCCCTCGCCTTGGGGTTTCTTCTCCTTGTTAAGGGGCTTCATCCTCCTTGAGGGAGGACCTTCCTCCTTTCTGGCTGCCTGGAGTTTCTCCTGGGCCCGCCTCCTTTTCTTATTGGCGGCTTTCCTCTTCTTTTTCTCCCTCTTCTTCTCCGCCTCCGTCCTCTTGCTTCCTATTGGAGCTGGGTTCCGGTTTGCTCCTATTTTTCTTTCCTCGATCGGGTCGGCTGACGCCTTCCCTTCCGTAGGAATCGGAGCAGAGGGGGGACAGAGGATCTGTACGAAGTTCTCCATTTTGGGAACTCACAAACCTCTATCTTCCTGCACCCTTTGCCTACATTCCAGGCAGTATTCTATCCCCCTGGATAGCTCCTTGTAGGTCTCCTCCCCTTCCGGTCTCAAATTGAGCTTGGCCAAGTCTTCGTCGAGCTCTTTTCTGATTCCTCCTATCGGAGGTCTCAAAACCGGTCGGGGGGCATCCAGCGGCATGGTGTCGTCGTACGACGGGATCACACCACTGGAGCCCCTCTTGAAAACCTCTTCCGAGGAGCTAGAGGAGCTTTCTACAATTGGTCTCCTATGCACCTTCCTTTTCTTCTTCTTAGAAGGCCCCGGTCGGCGCTCCTCCTTAAGTGACGAAGCTCCACTTCTAGCCGCCTGAGCATAAGTCCGGACATTTAACTGCGGCGCCGGTGCCGGACCTGTCTCAATCTCTTTGGCTGCAAGCTTCTCCTCCAGGCTTCGGTTCTGAGTCCTGAGCATCCTCAGTTCTTCCCTCATCTCCTCAGCCTTCCTGTTTGCTGCCGCCGCTGACTCTCCCTCCTCACCGTAGGCTGCACCCTCGCCAGAAAGGTTGTCATAACGGCCTCGGAGGTGGCCACTGCTCGGTTCATAAGTGACACGAAGGTCTCCTTAAGTGTGTTGGACCTTCGTGCCACAAGCCTTATGGCTCCAAGAGCCCGGCCCACCTCCGAGACCAGTTCTGGTGTTCTCGCCTCTCGAAGAAGTGCCCTCGAGGCAGAGTCCTTAAAGACCTCGTCGGCAGGCCTCGTATTCTTCAGAGACCGAAGGATACCCCTGCTGAGGAGGTCCGCCACCTCCGCCTCGAGGCGAGCTTCCACGTTCTCCCTCTTCTTCTTGGCCGCTTCCTCCCTGATGTATCGTATGCCGACATAGCGGCCATGTGTCGGTTCACGCCCTCTGGGATCCCTGTCTGGAACAAGAATGGGGGGGGAGTTTCGTCTGTGTGGGCTACTCCACGATGGCAACCGACGAGGACGAACCTCCACTCGTCGTTCCCCTCCTCCTTTTCCCGGTGCCAGTGGCCTGGATGGAGATGGCCGCAGTTGTAGTGATCTCAGGATCCTTTTTCCTGGCAACAAATCTGCCCAATTCGTCCCTAACCACCGGTATTTTGGACCGTTGGGAGAGGACCATGTCAGACCTAATCGTAGGCTTCCCAGACGTAGTCCTTTTCCCACTATCCGCGCACACGGCTCCCCCCTTCGCCCGAGCACCCCCTTTACTAGAAAGGTGGCCAGGCTTCGAATTTCCCAGTGTCGGCGTGGGGATGTTAAACCCCGTCCTCCTGGTCATCCTACGGGGTATCCTGGTCATCCTGGTATCCTTCGGGAGGAGGGCCGAATTGGCCCTCCTCCCGAAGGAGGGCAAGGAGCCCGGTAGTGCGTCAGCCTACAGGCCGATTTGCCTGCTGGACGAGGCGGACAAGATGCTGGAGCGCATCATTGCCGACCGCCTCGTCCAGCACATGTCCTCGAGTGGGCAGAACCTCCACGACCGCCAATACGGGTTCAGGCCCGGACGATCCATACTGGATGCAATCCAGTGAGTCCGGGACCTGACCCGGGCGGTCGTGGAGATAAGGGGCGGGGTGTTGCTGGCTGTGTCGCTAGACATATCAAATGCCTTCAACACCCTGCCCTGGCCGGATATAGGACGGGCCCTCGAGCACTTCGAGGTGCCCGCCTATCTCCGGCGGATAATGTCCGCCTACTTCGGGGACAGAGACCTCGCCTTCACCAAAGAAGGCGGAGTTCAAGGCTGGCGCACTATGGAGCGCGGTGTCCCGCAGGGGTCAGTGCTCGGCCCCCTGCTATGGGACATCGGCTTCAACCGGGTTCTTCGCACACCGCTCCCCGACGGCTGCCACGTCGTCTGCTACGCAGACGACACGTTAGTGTTGGCCGAAGGGGGGAACTGGGAGGAGGCCCGCTTCCGCGCGGAGGTGGCAGTGGCATCGGTGGTGGGAACCATCGGAGACCTGGGTCTCAAGGTGGCGCCCCAGAAGACTCAGGCTGTTTTTTCGGGCGCCGCCGGAGACCCGGGTCCTAGTCGATGGCGTCCACGTCCGCGTCAGGCCGACGATGAAATATCTCGGCCTGACGTTGGACAGCCGGTGGTCATTCGGCCCACACTTCAGGCTGCTGGCCCCCAGGGTGCGCAAAACCGGCCTGGCCGTATTCAGGCTGATGCGCGCCCAGGGGGGCTCAGGATGGCAGGCTCGCCGCCTGTATGTCGGTGCGGTTCTCTCGATCGCCCTGTACGGGGCGCCTATATGGGCGCCTCAGCTGCTGGCCTCCGCGGTGGCCAAGAGGCAGCTGAGGCAGGCCCTTAGGCCCCTAATGATCAGGGCGAATCGGGGGTTCCGCACAGTGTCATAAATGGCGGCGACCACCCTGGCCGGCTCCCCCCTGTGGAACTCCTGGCCGAGGAGAGGAGGATCCTCTACTGGCGAGTGTAGGAGCTCCGCGAGGGGGGAGAGCTGATGGCCAGGGGCCTGAAGGGCCTGATGACCCAGGCCAGAGAGCGGACCCGGGAGCGGTGGGAAGGCTTGTTAGCCGACCCCCGTTGGTCCGGTCTCGCAACGGCCGAGGCTGTCCGCCCCTGTCTGTCGGAAATGACAGACAGGAGGGGGCGTGGAATGTCCTTCCACCTGGTGTAGGTATTGACCGGGCACGGATGCTTCCGGAGATACCTGCACCGGATAAGGAAGGAGCCCACCGCTCGGTGCCACCACTGCCCCGAGCAAGAGGACATGGCGCTGCACACCCTAGCCGCCTGCGCGGCATGGGAGGAGCAGCGCCGGGTCCTGCTCGGGGCGGTGGACTGCCAAGGCGGGGAGCTCTCGCTCCCGCACCTGGTGCGAGCCATGTGCGGGAGAGAGAGAGCGTGGGATGCGGCGGCCTCCTTCTGCGGGGAGGTAATCTCCCGGAAGGAGGCCGCCGAATGGAGGCGCCGGCCTGGCAAACGCCGTCGGAGAGGACGGCGGGGCCGGCGTTTCCCTGGGGGAGGGGGAGTCGGAAGAGGCCCCGAGGTAGCATCAGACGAGAAGAGGGCGCCGGCCTACACGGGTCGGCGCCTCCCTCGGCCACCTCGGGCCAGGCTCCGTCATTCAGAGGGGAGCGGGGCAACTCCCGCTCCTCTGAATGATTAGATAGGGGGAAAGGGGGAGGTGGGGAACCCGATTGGGGTCAGGCTCACCTCCCCAAAATCCCTCCCTCTCCCTTAAGAAAGATGGGGGATAAGGAGGAAGGGTGGATGTCCCCTTTCTCCAAAATGACATCAGAAGGTCAACCGGCGGGGATACCCGCCGGGGTACCCACCTCTCCCACTAATTCCCCGAAAGGGGAAGGAGGGGGTGCTGTACAAGAAGGCGAGGGGCTCTTGGAATAGAGCCCTGGGGCCGGGAGGTTGAGGAGGGAATGCGGGAACAGTTCCCCTAACTCCCCTCCTCACGGTCCGACAAGTAAACATCCCGCAGAGGTTTTAGTCCGACATAACCCCCGTCCCTCCCCAAGGGGGCGGGGGTATCCATGATGGATTTCTCCTGCGTAAACAAAAAAAAAGTGTTAGACTAATTGTAAAATAAGTTCATTTTGACTGCATTTTATGAAGTTAAACTTCGTGTTGCGTATACGCAACATTGCGAAGAAATAGTGGGTTAAGTACGCAACATCGGTGCATCGTCATCATTGGGATATACATTAGTGATTGATTGAAATTTTTTTTATTAAACATTAGTGATTGATTAAGAATATATACATACATTAAGCACGCAACATCAGTGCATCGTCGTCATCAGTGGGATACATTAGTGATTGATTAGGATATTTTTTTATTAAACATCAGTGATTGATTAAGAAATAAATATGATTATTAACAAAAATGATTATTAACAAAAACATGCAAGGAAGTTTACAAATTTGCGCAGAAAGAAACTTCGGATATTCCTGCTATAGAAAATCTCAAGGACTTCACACCGCAGCGAAAAAAGAAAAAGGCATCGGTTGTGGTCTATGCATTGCCGGAAAATACAACTTAAGAAGGACTCGGATATGTTAAATTTTATACTATGCCTTCATTTTATTTGCCTCTAATTCATACGTTTCATTTCAATGAATAGGTGCTAATCACGTGCATAATTTTGCACCTTGTGATCATCCCGGCTGTCAGTGTGATAATTCATGCCCATATATACAAGCACAAAACTTCTGCGAGAAGTTTTATCAGTACAGCAGCGAATGCCAGAGCAGATTTCCTGAGTGTAGATGCAAAGCGCAATGCAATACAAATCAGTGTCCTTGTTATCTGGCTGTCAGGGAATGTGATCCGGATCTTTGCCAAACGTATGGTGCAGATAATTTCCAAATCAATTCTAAATCTTGCAAAAATATCAGCGTGCAACATGGTTTTTATAAGTTTCGAAAAATTTAATTTATTAGAGTGAAAATCAATATAATCTCAATAAGTAGAATTTTTGTTTTAAAATATATTTTATACAATTTGAAATATCAGCAGCGAAGAATGAAATCATCTAGGAATATTGCAGCGAAATTATCAGTCAAAGCGAAGCTGACAGGCGGCGAAAAGTATATGATAAATATATGTGTAGTTTCCTTTTTAATCTTAACAATGGTAAGTAGAGATAGATATAGTAGTTAATTAAATGTTGAAAAATAACAAAACTTAAAAGTTTTTGGTCAGTTTCAGATTTTGTTATAGATGCGACACGGAAAAGGAATAAAATAAAGTTCGCTAATCACTCGATAAATTCAAATTGTTATGCAAAAGTGATGATGGTGAACGGTGATCATGGAATAGATATTTTTGCTAAGAGAGCGATTCAACCTGGTGAAGAATTATTTTTTGACTATAGGTATGTTGCTGTAATGTTTTGTTTAATTTATTAATTGCAAACAGTTAAAATCATGCGATAATTTTCAGATATGGACCAACGGAACAATTAAAATTCGTCGGTATCGAGCGAGAAATGGAGTTTCTTTAATATATGTATATATATTATATGGACTTTTACACGTATAAATGGTGCATCAAGCGAATACATACAGCTGAAATATTAGAAAGGAAATAAGCACTGCCTGATTTGTATGCCTCTCTATTTTTAATTAAATTTTACATTTTCATTTGTCGGCCCAATTTTGCAAAATTGTAGTAATAGAGATTTTTTGCACATAGATAAAGGAACTTTTTGAAATATTGGGTGTGTGAATATGACTCCGCCCTTTTTTGTTAAAATAAAACACATTTGCTTGTTTAGAAAATTAAAGAAAAGTTTATTGAAAGTATGCTCCATCTGCAGCTACAACCTTCGCCCATCTTTCAGGTAATTTATGTATTCTTTGCCTGAAGAAGTCTTGGTCTTTTGAGCTGATCCAATTATCAAGCCAAATTTTGATACTTTCGTATGAAGTGAACCGTTCTCCCGTAAGATCTGACTGCATGGTCCGGAATAAGTAATAATCAATATGTTCAAGTTTTTATGGACATCTCGAAACATAAAAATATCAAAGTAAAAATATACATATACATGTTGTGAATAAATAAAATGATTTCAAATAACATCGATTTGAATATATCTCAAAAAGTTCCAACTATATTTCGCCTTGATACCACTTGATATTTGCTTTGTTGTACATTTGACCGTAATGAATTTTTTACAATTATGTAAAACACAAACCTATAATGATCGATAAGATATTATTTAATTTTAGTGTGATGATACTTAACTACTGAGTTTATTAAGATTCGAGAGTACATATTCAACTCCTGCCCCTAATCATGACCCGATATATTAACAAAAGAAAATTTCGACTCAGTAATAAGATAAAAAAGAAATGTCGGACGCAAAGGAGTGGGGCTATGCGTGCATCGCTACGAGAGCGCTGAAGAAGCACATAGCAGCGAATGCGATATGTATTTATAAATAATGTATTTATAATAAATATATATAATATAATACTAGGTGCGCAACTAAGTTCCCGCTGTTTTTCAAGAGATGGCTCTAGTAGTAAGTGCTGGTCGATTGTGACATAACCAAAATGTCATGAACCAAGCTTAGACATATGGTAAACAAACCGCTTTGACACATTAGTGATTTTGTTTTTGCATCATATACTTTTGGTTGTGTGAAAATGTCTTATTTTGTGCCAAATAATCGTCATTTGCGGGAAGTGTTGCTTTTCTTCTTTCATTCGAAGAAAACGGTGGCTGAAGCGCCTCGAGAACTCCAAAAAGTTTACGGAGATGCTGCTCTAAGTGAAACAACGTGCCGTGATTGGTTCCGTCGCTTCAAAGACGGTGATTTCGATGTTGACGACCGTTCGCGTGAAGGAAGGCCAAAAACCTTCGAAGACGCTGAATTGGAGGCATTGCTCGATGAGGATCCGTGCCAAACGTAAAAAGAGCTTGCTTCAGCATTAGGAGTTACCCGCCAAGCCATTTCCAAGCGATTGCATGCGTTGGGAATGATTCAAAAACAAGGAACTTGGGTTCCTTATGATTTGAAGCCAAGAGACGTTGAGCGTCGTTCTTTCGCCTGTGAACAACTGCTCCAGCGGCAAAAAAGGAAGGGTTTTCTTCATCGCATCGTTACGGGTGATGAAAAATGGATTCATTACAGCAACCCAAAGAGAACAAAATCATGGGGACTGCCCGGTCATGCTTCTACGTCGTCGGTTCGGCCGAATATTCACGCTGCGAAGGTTTTGCTGTATATTTGGTGGGACCAGGGCGGTGTTATTTATTATGAGCTGTTGAAACTGAACGAAACCATCACTGGGGAACGGTATCGAACTCAATTGATGCGATTGAGCCGAGCACTGCGCGAAAAGCGGCCACAATACGAGCAGAGGCAGGAAAAAGTGATTCTACAGCATAACAACGCTCGGCCTCACGTTGCCAAACCCGTTAAAACCTACTTAGAAACGCTCAAATGGGAAGTCCTACCCCACCCGCCATATTCCCCAGATATTGCGCCGTCCGATTATTACTTGTTCTGTTCGATGGCATATGGTCTGGCTAATCAGCAGTTCCGCTCATATGAAGACATCTCAAAATGGCTTGATTCGTGGATAGCCTCAAAAGACGAACACTTCTACCGTGACGGTATTCGAGCTCTGCCAGTAAGATGGGAAAAAGTTGTCGCTAGCGATGGGCAATATTTTGAATGATTCATCTGTAACTATTTTTTCACAATAAAGTTGCATTTTCATCAAAAAAACAGCGAGGACTTAGTTGCGCACCTAATAATAAATAATAAAATAATGATTTTTATTAGAAAAAGAGAGAATGAGAAAATGAGAGAATGAGAGAGGGAGAGTGAGAAAGCGTGAGAGGGTTTGGGAATGAGAGAAAGTGTGAGAGTGAGAGAGAAAATGAGTGAGAATGGCAGAAAATAGGAGAGAATGGAAGAGAATGAGAGATAATGAGAATGAGAGAGAGTGGAAGAGTGAGAGAGCTTGAGAAAGTTTGGGAGTGAAAGAAAGCGTGAGAGTGAGAGAGAATGAGAGAGAATGAGAGAGAATGAGAGAAAGACAGAATGGGCGAGCATAGGAGAGAATGAGAGAGAATGAAAGAAAATGAGAGTATGGGAGAGAATGAAAGAGGATGAGAGAGAGAGAGAGAGAGAGAGAGCGAGAGAGAGAGAGAGAGAGCGTGAGAGAGCGTGAGAGAATTTGGGAGTGAGAGAAAGTGTGAGAGTGAGGGGTTGAAAGGGTGAGAGAATGAGAGAGAGTGAGGAAGAGCTAGAGAGAGAGAGAGAAAGAGAGAGAGAGAGAGAGAGGAAGATAGAGAATGAGAGTGATTTTTATTAGAAAGAGAGAGAGAGAATGAGAAAATGAGAGAATGAGAGAGAATAGGAGAGAATGAGAGAGGGTGAGAGAATGGGAGAGGGAGAGTGAGAGAGTGTGAGAAAGTTTTGGGAATGAGAGAAAGTGAGAGTGAGAGAGAAAATGAGTGAGAATGATAGAGAATGGGAGAGAATGAGAAAGAATGAGAGAGAGAGAGAGAGAGAGCGAGAGAGAGAGAGAGAGAGAGAGAGAGAGAGAGAGTGGGAGAGTGAGAGAGCGTGAGAAAGTTTTGGGAGTGATTAATTAAAACATTTATTAAAAAAGTTTTTTAATTATATCATTTATTATTATAAATTGTATTTTATGTTATGCATTTGTTTCTTTACGTAATGTTATATTATTTTTGTTCTATTCTACAATGTAACTATGTGCATATTATATATTTAGATTATTAATTGGTCTTTGTACATATTTTACATTTAGATTATTCTTCAATTTTGTATACGTACGTATGTAGTTTTTCTTCGATATGTCACTATGCAGTTTATCATTATATTTTCGTTTTGTAGAAACATACTACATGCTTAATTAATCTGTATTGAATTTTACGTTTAAAACAACATTTCTGTTACAAAACATTTGTTTATGTTTTTGAATTAATATATATCAATATAAGAAACTTATAATTCATTTCTACTTGGATTAAAATAAAATTACATTTAATCCTGTTAATAATCCTATTTGTTTCAGTAATCCTATATTTAGATGTTTAGTGTAAATTTCAAATTCAAATTATTTTTTAAGGTATATATATGTGTACATAAAATAAGTTTCTACAAGTAAAACTTATATGAGGTCGGTCGTAAATCATTTACGCCGAGCAACTAGTTGAGCGCAAACATTTCTCGTTTGACCATAATGACTGAATGAATGAAATTCTATATAGGTTCAATCAATTCTTTAGGGTCGATTTAGTTAATGAAATTATGTTTATTTTTGTCCTACATGCTAAGTGAGTGGAAATGTTAAGACAGAAAGTTCGAAAAGTGCCAAAATTTACGATGGGAAAAATATCCATCTCAACCTTCTTCCGTTAGATGGTACTAGTGGCGCTACAGGCAGTGTACGAGATACAATACGATATAATGGGTGCAATGGGTGCATCCAGAACCACGAATGCTCACTGTGAGCTCTTGCATCTGATTGGTGTATATTCTTAATGATATCGTGTTATATAATTTTAACACGTTTATTAATAGTGTTCAATATTTAAAAAAGATATCTTTTTAAAGGTTATTATTACAAATTCAAATTATTTTTTTAAGTATTGTTTTTAAGTATTTTTAAGTATTTTTTTAAGTATGTTTTTAAGTATTTTTAAGTATTTTTAAGTATTTTTTAAGTATAATATAAATATATATGTGTACATAACATAAGTTTTTACAAGTAGAACTTATACAAAAGAAGTGATATATTAAAACAGTAACGCCAATTGAGAAATCATATACTTAATATTTTTAGAAATCTCAAATTCAAATTATTTCCTTTTTTTAAGATATATATTAATTATGTACATAACATAAGTTTTTACAAGTAAAAATGATATTTATTAGAACACTGAGTTATATGATTATTTTACTTGTTATTATAATGTACATAACATAAGTTTCTACAAGTAAAAATTATTTACATGTAAAATTTATCTTTTTAAAGGTTATTATTACAAATTAAACTTATTTTTTTTAACTATATATGTGTACATAACATAAGGTTTTACAAGTAAAACTTATTATACATGTAAAATTTATAACAAGTAAAACTTATACAAAAAAAGTGATATATTAAAACAGTAGCGCCAACTGAGAAATCGTATACTTAATTTTTACAAGAATAAAACTCTACAACACTATTCTACTGTACAAAAGAAGTGATATATTAAACAGTAGCGCCAACAGAGAAACCGAATATATATTGGCATAAATTTTTACAAGTAAAATTTATTTACATGTAAAATTTACTGTCCCAACAACTAAAGTATCAGTAGCAGGACACTTATATGGTATGTACCAGGTGTGTCGGTAATTCCTTTCCGGTTTTTTCGCTAAAGAAAACACGTTATTTACAATGGATAGTCAAAATATATTTATTCAAAATATTGGCCATTTGATTCTATACATTTTGCCTATCTCTCAGGCAATTTATGGATGCCATTCCAAAAGAACTGTTTCTCCTTTGGGCTAAACCATTCATCGAGCTATTTTTTAACTTCTTCGAAATCGGCGAAGTACTGCTCTGCAAGCGCGTGCCCCATCGATGCGAAAAGGTGGTAGTTGGATGGAGCCAGGTCTGGAGAGTACGGCGGGTGCGATAAAACTTCCCATCAAGTGATTTCAACACTTCTTTGACTTTTGCTGTATGAGACGGCGCGTTGTCATCCTGCAAAATCACCTTATCATGTCTTTGAGCGTATTGTGGACGTTCTTCGATCAATGCACAGTTCAAATTGATCATTTGTTGTTGGTAGCGATCAGTATTAACTGTTTCTCCAGGTTTCAACAGTTCATAATATACGACACCAACCTGGTCCCACCAGACACAGAGCATGGTCTTGCGACCAAAGCGATTTGGCCTTGCAGTTGATGGGCCGCCTTCGCCAGGTGATAACCATGATTTTTTCGCTTGGGATTTTCGAAATAAATCCATTTTTCATCACCCGTTACTATTCAGTACAGAAATGACTTCCTTTCATACCTTTGAAGCAGCATTTCACTAACGATTTTTCGATTTTCCAATTGCCTGTCATTCAATTCATGTGGCACCCATCTTCCCATCTTTTGGATCTTTCCCATCGCTTGTAATCGTTCACAAATTGCTACTCGGCTCACATTCAACTTTTCTGCCAATTGTTTTTGAGTTTATGTTGGGTCTTCATCCAATAACTCCTGCAATTCCGCATCTTCAAACGTTTTCGGCCTACCAGGACGTTTTTTGTCTTGAACGTTGAAATCACCACATTTGAATTGTCGAAACCACGTTTCACATGTTCTAATGGTTGGAGCATGCTCACCGTAAGTCTCTACCAGCAAACGATGACTTTCAGCTGCTTTTTTCTTTTGATTA